GAGAATCCGAAAGGTGAAAAATTAATATAGCTAGACCTCTTACTTTGCGAAAAAGAGAATGGGAACCCTGGTCAAAAAGCGTAAGATGAGACTTGGGTATCTTTCGAAAGAAACGGCGTTCTCGTGCCAACATGACAAGGAAAACTAAACTTAAATTAATGAACTTGGAGGCTATCTCAAAATTTAGCTTTAGTCCTCCGCGTACTTCAAGTATACGTCAAAGCACAAATGTGCCGAGACGGTTTAGCTTAGTTGTACACCATGTCTACTCTTTGCATAGGTTTAAATGATTGTTCCTAAATTGTGGCCTACTGAGTTCCTTGATCCTAAAAAAATAGCCCTGAAGTTCCTGAATGCATTGAGTCTTTGTTAGAATATTCCGATCTCTCAAAATAAAGGGACTATTATTATTATCCATCCATCATCACCTTCACAAGTCCTTCTGATCAATATCTAGTTTATTTGTGTATGCTGTCATTACTTTGAGGATGTTGTGAATAATTTTGTCAAATAGTTTAGCTTGAGTACAAAGGCGTAGTTTAGGGAAGGATTTTCTTGATTTAAACTGTCTGCCCTGTGAATATCCCTTTAACTACATGTGTATGCTAACTATTTTAAATTCCGTGTGGTGATTATCGTAAGTCCCGTTGTTCGATTTGCTTGAGGACAAGCAAAAGCTTAAGTGTGGGGGAGTCTGATAAGTCCGTATTTAGACACGCATTTGATGCGTGTCCAGGTCGGATTTTGATGTTTTTCTTGGATTTAAGGCGTTGCAAGTCTCAATTTTGGCTCAAGTTGTGTTTAGCAGGCGTTGGATCAAGTTTCGTTGCATTTGGAGTTGATTTGAAGAAGTTAGAGTCCGGCAATCGGCGCTAAAGAGACAATCGGGAGGAGATAGAGAGCATTCAAGGAAGAATTGAGAGATTTGGAGGTCACCGGGTGATTCACGGCGAAATTTTGATGAAGAAAGAGCATTGGGATCGACCTCGTTTGAATCCGGGCACGTTTGGAGCAAGAAAACGAGGAAAACGGAGCGAAAAAGTCAGACGCACGGTCGTGCGTCTGGGACGCACGATCGTGCGTCCATTACTAAACCGCGATGAGGCGTCTGCCTGCTACGCACGATCGTGCGTAGGCAGGGACGCACGATCGTGCGTAGCCCCGTGACACGCGCGAAAAACTCCTTTTTCGGCCCAAACTCGGTTTTTTCCCCTGTTTTCTATAAATAAGGCCTCCCTAACCCTTTTTGGGGGTTACGAACATTACGGAGAGGCCTAGGGACGAATTTAACACCGTTTTTACGCTATTTTCTTCCAAGACCCTGGGATTATTTGTAAGTTCATCTTTTTAATTAATGACAATTTATTCTATTCATCTCAATTCTGTTGATTCTTCAATTATGAATTGTGAGTAGTTTAATTAGGGATTTGGGGTTGATGAAGGGGTTAATCATGATGTATGGCTAGATTCTTGTCGGTTTAATTGCATGAATGCCGTTTAATTTGTGTTTGAATAATTTAATTGATATCTCTTGTAACCTAGACTGCAGCTAGAATTACAATTGCATGTAGAATAAATTAAGAGAGATCTAATTTGTTCTAGGACACATTCACACACACTTAATCGTTCGCTAAGAGATTAGTAGCGATTAAGGGGCCGTAAGCTCGCTCGTCTTGGCAATAATTTAGGATCCTGTCGCATGAGAGATCAGCCTGGTCCCCTAAATTATTGTACTCTATGCCGCGAGAGCGGTAAGAACTTAGTAATGATTAGCTAGGCTCAATTAAATTAAATTCATGTAATTAGGCCTGATCTGTCAGAAATCTGGTTACCCCGGAATCAATCCCTGTTCCCTTCGTCATTAATTGAGAAGAAACCACTTTTATTTTAATCGTTCATTCGCATTAGTTTAATTTTTATTCAACCAACCAATCTCGCACGACGCATTTTTATTTATTTATTTTTAATCGCTGAATTTAGTTAATTCTTAATTCCCTTTTGTCCGTCCCTGTGGAGACGATACTCGTACTTACACCACTATTCTACAATCTTTTCAAGTGCGAGAAAACTCACATCAATCAGCATGAACATACTCTAACACAGAGGTACACTTAGTAGGATTAGGATATGGGGAGGAGGGGAATGTAACCTTATGCTGCTTGCCTAACACACAAGATTCACAGAAGGGGATGGGGGACACAGAATCCTTACCAAAACAACCAGATTTATGCAAAATCTCTAAACCCCTATTACTCATGTGTCCTAATCTATTATGCCACAAAGCAGATTTATCAGAACTAACAACATGAGCAGAATCACAGAAAGGCTGAGCATGGCACACATACAAGTTATTCACCTTTTTTGCTTTAAACAAAACAAGGGAATTTTTCAAAACTTTCATGCACCCATTACCCCATTTACCCTCTAATCCACTACCCTCAAAAGCAGCGACAGAAAACAAGTTATGACGCAAATCAGGAACATGCCTCACATTTTTCATAGTAAACACAGTCCCATTATCAAACTTCAAACATACATCACCCACCCCATGTATTTTGCATTTCTTATTATCAGCAAGAGACACAAAACCATCATTGCAAGAATCATAAGAAGCAAACAAGGATCTAAAAGGTGTCATATGATAAGTACAACCAGAGTCAATCAACCACTCATTTTCAGTCATGCTACTCAACACAGAATTGGCAGAATCACAAATCATAAAAACTTCTTCATGCAAGTTATTATCATCTACCACATTAGCATGTTCAGACTTCTTAGGATGGGGACAATCCTTAATGAAGTGACTAGAATTACCACAATTATAGCACACTCTCTTCTTAGACTTACCTCTCTTTTTCCCCGGGTCATTGTTTTTGTTCTTATCGTTGTTGCCCTTCTTATGGTTTCTAGATCTACTCTTAGACCTACCCCTCACAAACAACGCTTCACCTGAGTCCCTAGACTGACTGTTACTACCCCTCGAGTGTCTAAGGTCTAACTCCTTACTCCTTAATCCATTAATGACTACATCCAACGAGATATCATCTCTACCATACTTTATGGCAGATTTGACGTCATTGTATGAGTCAGGGATGGCATTAAGTAACACTATGGGTGTGTAGTCATCTATGTGTTTATCACCGGCTTGCTTAATATTCTGAATAAGCTTGTTAAACACATCTAGGTTCTCATCTATATCCTTAGACAGGTCAAGCCTAAATCTAAAGAACTTCTCAAGCAAAAACAATTTACCAGGCAAAGAAGTATCGGTATACGTCTTATCTAACTTGTCCCACAAAGCCTTTGCAGAATCTATAATACCCACCTTCCTGAGTACTGAATCAGAAAGGTTCAGGTATATAGAGGAACAAGCAGTTTCATTCATTTCATCGCGCTTAGCAGCATCCTCAGAGTCTAAATAGAGACCAGTCACAGCTCTATAGACTTTCTGTTGGATCAACACGCATTTGATTTTCTGTTTCCAGATATCAAAATCTGTCTTTCCGTTAAATGGAAGCATGCCATATTGATTGACAGCCATATTAAACGGAAAGCAAGCACAACACGCAAGAGAGTAAATAAAAAATTATCAAGCAAAGAACAGTACGAAGCAACTAGCACGAACAAGCCGAGAAGACCAATGAACACAAGGCTCGGGTACAATCTCCTTGTTCTTTCGTACAAGCAAGATAAAATTTTAATTTACTCAACAGACAGATAAATGATTAATTATAACCTATAGGGCTATCAATTGTACGAAGCAACTAGCACGAACAAGCCGAGAAGACCAATGAACACAAAGCTCGGGGTACAATCTCCTTGTTCTTTCGTACAAGCACAAATAGGCTAAAATTAAATCAATAGGCAAAGAGACTGGATTTAAAACTAATCCGGACAGAAATATTCCCCAACTTCGGACAACAAGTATCCAAACAAATATTCTTAACCGGAAAATTAATCCACAAATCAATCAACAGAAAAAACAAAATCCAAACGGATTAAATTTAAACCGGAAGAAATATTCACAACTTTGGACAACGAGTATCCAAACAAAATATTCTTCAACGGAAAATTAATCCACGGACCAACAAACAAGCAATCACAATTCAACTAACAAGCAAAGAGCAATTCAACTTGGAATTAAAAAATGAATGAACTACGAATAAAAATCACACAAAAGGATTAGTAAACGTACCAGGGGCCGGACACAGCCGGCATCCAAGACCACGTAGGTCAGCAGCGGGGAGCGGGGGGAAAATAAATCCGGTGGCACTCCGGTACACCAAGGATGTTAAAGCCAATTTACCTGAGCGGGGCCCGAGGTTGGGTTACCCGACTTACCGTAGGCAGCGTGGGCTGCTGTAGAGCCGGTGGAAGCGGACTGGACAGGCGGCAACACTCCCCGGCAGGCGGCAGAACTCTGGATTGCGACTGGCAGAACTTCTGTGGACTGCCTGAAGCTTCTGGACGGCTGGATGGCTCCTGGCAGAAGGTCTGGATGGTGCAGCAACTCCAGGCGACGGCGGCTGGACGTCCGACGGCGGCGGGCGGCGGCGAGACGGCGGCGGGCGGCGGCTGTCTCTGATACCACTGTGATGTCTAGGTTCCAGCTCAGGTCTCCACAGGGTTCACCCACAAAGGATGAAAGAACACCACTAGATCACAAGGTGAGGTTGTGGGCAACAACCAACTCACAATTTCCGGCCAACTCAGATTGTTCGAGCACCACAAAGGAGCAGAGGTTCGATTTGGGGAAAAGGATTTTTCTGGTATATTCAGAAATATTATTACATCTTTTAATAAGATTTGTAATTGTTGGGCCAATACCTAACACAATTGATAAACCCAAGCATATTCAGAAATATTATTACATCTTTTAATAAGATTTGAACTTGTAATATGCAGCCACACAACTCTTAATATTGGACTTAAAGTTTGAGAATTGAAAATCTATGAAGAAGACAATATAATAAGATTAGTGTATAGAAATGCTGCGCTTTATAGAAAAGAACCAAAGTGCATATATTGATGATACATTGTTTTATTGCTTATTTAAGTTTGAGTATAGAGTTATTATAGGCAATACAATTGGAATATTGGACTAATGTCCTCAAAGAATTAAACCCAGCCAAATTTTTCTATGAGACTGCTAGATTGAATCATATTGGCAGTCACCCACTTCACCAGCTAAATCCTTCATAGCCTTCGACTGCTTGGAAATGACACTGGCAGTGGATGGGTTTTGGGGTAAGACAATGGAATACCCATCATCCCATGCATCCATGTCATGTGCCATAAGCTGCCACACCATGCTCCCCGCCATGGTCCCTCCGTCCTTGGCGAGCTCACACGTGTTTTCGTAAACCTTGCTGAGGAAAGAGTTGCGCCCCTCGATGCTGAACCCTCCATCTCGGCTTGACTTGCCGAATTCAGCGAACACCAACGGCTTCTTCAGTACCGTCTTCGCATCTTCCCAGTGGCTCTTCATCCACTTATCCAAGAACTCCATTTGCTCGTCATCAGTTTCTCCAGACTCCCTAAAAAATCCCAAATTTGTAAGCAAGATTGAGTAAAATCTGAATTTTTAAAATGTTTTACTAATAACAATGAAGTATGTAGTATAATAATGGTCAAACTTGTGCATTGACAAACATAAAAAGTGGAACTGTCAAATGTATAAGTTACATAAATAAAAGGGTTAATACATATATACATTCTGCACGATTTGTTATTACATTCAAATCAGAGAAACTAAATTATACCATTGATCTGTGTATGCATGGATGGTGGCGAAGTCAATTTCATCAACAAGATGGTTGCTTATAAAATCAGTCCCAACTTGATAACCAGGGTTAAACTTCTCTCTTTCAGGCACTGAGTCTCCATAAAAGCCCTCCATTCCTATCTCCAACAAATGATTCTTGTCCAGTGATTTCACATAACTTGCTACCTCTTGAACCCAACCCTGATTTCAATATGTAACCAAGTCATGTGTCAAAAACAAATACTCTGGATGCATGTAATATGTGTGTGTATCACTAAATGTGTATAATAAATGTGTGTGTGATTTGTGTATACATACAAGAAATAGTAGTTCATATAACTTTGTCACTAATTGCATTAATAAATTTTATCACAATTTATATGAAGAAGATTACTGAGTCATGATCAAGCAGAATAATCCATATACTTCGTATAATGAAAGAGCATTTATCATAAAAACTTATAATAAGTGTTAATCAATAAATGATAAATGACATTAATGTGATACTGACATTTACGGTTTTCCCAGAGTAATCTTCTTGGCAACGAGGTTCGTTCATGAGTTCCCATGCCATGATGGTTGGATCATCCTTATAAGCTACTCCAGTGATCGTATTGATTCTTGTTACAATTTTCTGTAGTATTTCATATACGAATAATTGTTAAGAGTTATTTTTGAACAAGTACTAGCTCAAATCAGTCTTCAAATTATCTTTTCGTTATCATTCTTTTGCCAAAATAGCATTTGTGTTTTTAGGGAACATCTATCTCATTTACATCTTAAGATATTGTTTCTAGGTGATCAAAAGAGCAAATAAATTAATTACATTTTACATACCTTGATATGGTTCTTGAAGTAGCCGATAAGAACTGGATGTGTGTAAAAGGAGTCTTCACTATCAACTTGTACACCTGAATCTCTTGCCCAGTTTGCATATTGTGCTTTCCCTCCAAAGTCGTACCAATTATTCACAAAGCTCAAAATCAAACGGACCCCATATTTCCTTGCTTCCGAAATCGCAAAATCAAGTCCCTAAAAATTCATATTCACATCATTATGATTGTATAAAATTTTAGAGTGTAGTAAGCAATAAAGTATAAACTGCTATGATATTTTAAAAAACATGATATACTTCATCAATTCCTCATCAATTGCATGTGTTTGAATTTCACACTCGTCAATGCAAGATCCAATTCGAATATTAATTAATATATTCAATAGACTATTAATACTATACAAATGATATTAAATAATTTAAAATTTTACATTGAGACTGAACATTATTTTTTCATATATACTATTATTTGTTAATGCATTATATTAATAAATAAAACCATATCAAAATACAGCATATATGAATAATTTAAAATCAAAACTTTCCCACCAATAAAGAAAGAAGTTAGCGTAATTAAACAATTCATTACAAATAAATTACTGGATTAGTATGGATTTGACACGAATTGATTGATAATTTTATATTAAATCATCTATGAATTTTGGTGAATCTGCTCTACTAATTTCGTGTTTTTTATAGTGATTGATTTATTTTACTTTCTTCTTAATTATTATAAAGAGTCATGCTTCAAATAGTTTAATGAGAATATATACTAACTCGGAAGACATGCTCGTCATAAACGCCCGGAGAAGTTTGCAAGGCGTTGTATTGGCTTCCGTCACTAAAAGCCCAACTTCGGCAAACGGTAAGCCCAACAGCCGAAGCGGCCTCAAGAACTTCCGTCACTTTTGACCGTTGGTCAATGTCACTTGCCACATGCATCAACCAATAGGAATTGAAGCCGTTAAATAAGAACGGCGACCCGTCAAGCTCGAAACGGTCCTTGTTTCTCGTAATCCAGCTATCGGCTTTTTCCGGCGACTCTGGGTAGGCTATGGAATGGGCTAGCTCCGCCATGGCATGTGACTGGCCGGAAATGACGGCGGCGGTGGAAGGGTTTTCCGGCAGGACGATGGAGTAGCCGTCATCCCATCCGCCCATTCCTTGGGCCATGAGCTGCCACACCATGCAGCCGGCCATTGCGCCACCGTCTCTGGCGAGGCTGTAAGTTTCTCCGTAAACTTTTGTCAAGAAGGAATCCCGGACGGCGATGTTGAATCCTCCGTTCCGGCTGGACTTGCCGAACTCAGCCATGACCAAGGGTTTATTGAGAATGTTCTTCGCGTCTTGGGAATGGCTGCTCATCCACTTATCTATGAATGCCATTTGATCATCCGCACTTCGCCCAGGAACCCTGTTACAATAAAGTAATGTTATAAATATAGAAACGATTTAAGACTAAAACATACACACAATTCAAAAAAGTGTAATACTGCATATGTTTCATTCCCCAAACAGAGCTTAATTAGTCTTATTACAAGAATAAGTTGATTAAAACTTCTCAAATTAGGAATGAATGAATCTTACTTTAGCAAGAAAACAATAATAATCTTATTTATGAATTTTATGTTTGTCTTAGTCTTATTCAAGGAATTTTCTCGTTATAAGTAGTACTGCGTATTATACAATTAGTTATAGTGTATGCAGGCTTTAATTTATATTGTGAAAAACTATATGGAAAAAATCTTTTATCAATCACTACAAAAAAAACACGGATTAACAAAGATTTTTGGCAGAGATTCGAAAAACTCATAGAGGCCGGATTTGGTAGAGAAATGCCAAATCCGTGACAAAAACATTTTGGCATGGGCTATTTGACACGAAATCGTCGCTAAATCTGTGCCAAATTTGTGTCAATCCCATACTTTTTTGTAGTGAACCTACAATGTTTTCTCATGATTATAGGCTAGGGATCATGATAGTATGAATTAAGATGATATTACTCCACTTCTATTATGATAAAATAGTTTAGTTCTATTTAAAGAAATCACATATAGTACCATTGATCAGCATATACATGGATGCTGGCAAAGTCAATTTGATGAATGAGATGGTTGCTAATGAAATCAGTGCCAACTTGGTAACCAGGGTTGTATTGCTTCCTGTCCTCAATAGAATCTCCATAAAATCCTTCCATGCCTATTTCTAGGAGATGTTTGTTATCTATTGACTTCACAAAGCTTGCAATTTCTTCAACCCATGCCTGCATGCATGCAATCAAGATAAATATATCCATGCATGATTATTATATTCTAGCTTGGGGTTACATGGCTTAGTAATTAATACTTCGTAAGGTTTTTACTTCTTTTGCATGAGACTTGTGTGTGTGTGTGTGTAAGCTAAGATGCAATTTAAATAAACTAACATTAACGGTTTTGCCAGAGTAATCGGCTTGGCAACGTGGCTCATTCATTAGCTCCCAAGCCATGATAGTTGGATCATCCTTGTAAGCAACTTCAGTAATGGTATTGATTCTTGTTACAATTTTCTGCAAGAAATGTATAAGCAATTCAAACCTATGTAATGATGAGTCATAAGCAACAATACCATGATATCATATTTAACTTGCCTCGATATGGTTTTTGTAATACTCTATAGGGACAGGATGAGTAAAGAAATCATCATCATGATAAACCGGTGCTCCTGCATCCCTAGCCCATTGTGCATATTGTGCTTTGCCTCCAAAGTCATTCCAATTGTTCACAAAGCTCAATATCAAACGAACCCCATAGTTTCTTGCTTCCGAAACCACAAAATCAAGCCCCTACAATATATAATCATGCATGCAACCATTTAGTAATGATAAAGATTTCTAACTATTACTAAAATAAAATATACTTTCTCAAATATGGACACTATTCTTGCTTTAAAATATTACTCTTATATATGAACTTGCCTCATATTTTGTTCCTCTTCATACCAATATTGTCTTTTTTAAAGAATATATCTGATGCTTTTAAATGGTTACGTTGTAGACTTGTAGCGAATTAGCGATAAAGATTCAGGACCCGAATAGTATAGTAGTGGTAAGCATATGCTTCGTAAATGGTACCACCTCCCTCCAAAAATATTTAGTCATCTTTAAAACTTTGAAAACTATATATTCTTTATTGAAAATTATTTATAGTAAAAAAATGTTATGAAAATGCTATTTGTTAAAAGTATAAAATTTATAATATCCATAATATTATACTCGATCCGTACTAATCAAAATTGCGATCTAAACTTTAAGATATGGCTAAATATTTTGGGACGAAGGTACTATGTGCGTGGAGTTATCATACTACAAACACAAAGGTTTATTTGAGCCAATGAGTTCCATCTTGAGGAGGAATAATTGTAAACCATCATTGCCTCAATCATATACTTATGTATACTTATGTAATAAGTCATCTTTTTAGAATGAAACCTCAAATCTTAAAAAAAGTATGTATAGATGTGAGTGGACCTGAAAAACGCGCTCATCGTAAACACCGGGAGATGTTTGCAGCCCGTTATAACGTTTCCCGTCGCTAAAAGCCCAAGCCCTACACACAGTTAGGCCGATGCTTGCAGCATCCTTGAAAACTTCGGTGACCTGGTGCCTATTGTTGGTGTCACTTGCAACATGCATGAGCCAATAGGAGTCAAACCCATTGAACAGAAATGGCAAGCCATTTAGCTCAAAATGTCCGCCTTTTGTGGTAACCCAGCCTTCAATTTCTGTTATTGGGTTACTAGGTTGAGCAGTTATGATAGAACAACAACTATCCTCGGTAAAACAAGCCATTGGGTTGAATAAGATTTGAAGTACGTGTGTTCTATAACAATGCTAAAAATATTACGTTTGGGAGCTTGAAGTGGTGAGGTGATTGGTTGGATTCTAGGGCTTTTATAGCAAGTTATTGAGATGGTGGATGTATGGAAAGTATGTAGTGTTTACTAAAAATAGAATATGAGTCTGTTGTAGTTTTTTGCTTGTGTGTTCACTAAAACTCTTTAAAATACTAGTAGTATCTACGTCTCATTTTATGTGTCCCATTTGACTTTGACACAATTATTAATAATGTTGTTGAGTGAAATGTTGTAGAACACATATTTCTTTCAAAAAAGAAAATTTGACATTTATTTTGGGAAAATCCAAAAAGAAAAGTAAAACAAGTAAAATGAGACGGAGGGAGTAATTATAAGCCAAGTAATTCTTACAATTTTCCATCTTCCCTTTCATTAATTAGAAATTGCTCAATATATGACCAAAAGATATCTAAAGTGAAAAAACAAGACTAAGTATGTTTTATTCGCCAAATAGGACTCCTTTAGTCTTATTAAAAGAATACGTTGAGTAAAATTTCCCAAAATGGGAGTGAATAAGGAGTCGTATTTGAGAACAAAACAAAAATAATCTTAACTTATTTATGAACTTTATCATTGTTTTAGTACGTCATATTTATTTAGGGGATATTCTCTTCATTAGTATTTCATAAAGATGTCCACTAATTTGATTTTTATTTAATCTTCATTAAGGAGCATGCATTTAGTTTTGAAATACTTGCCTCCAACATGAGTCATATCTGTATTAGCCGTCACTTTTAATTCGAGAGAGAAAATTGTTATCTTTTATATGGAGTATTAGGGTATGTTTGGCACAACTAGTTGAAAAGATACTTTCATAAGCTTTTTACACACTGTTAGATTTTAGTGACTGGAAGGATCTTAAAAGAAAATGTAATACTTCATAGTTGTTTGATACAAAGTCGACTGTTTGATTTAACTTTGTTTGATATATAAGTTGTTGGGCCTAATTAATGGTAGAAGCTATAGACTTATCTGAGATGCTATTCACTCTAGCATCTCAAAAAAAAGATCTTATATTCTTATAAAAGCTCTTAAAAATTGGAATGTTAAACATACAATTAGAAGCTTTTAATTTAAAGATTTTTTTAAATAATACAAAAGCTGGAAGGCAGAGACTTATTCCCATCAAATATAGGCTATGTTTGACGGGCATAAGTCCCTGACTTCTAGCTTTTGTACTGTTCAAAAAGTTCTTAAAAGCTTCTAGTTGTGTGTTTGGCATGAAAATATTTAAGAGCTTTTCAAAAATTAAAAGATCTTTTTTGAGATGCTACTGGGAGTAGCATCTAAGAAAAGCTAGTGACTTTTAGTATTAATTAATCCTAACAGCTTGTATACCAAACTGAACTAAATCAAACAGTCAGCTTTTTATCAAACAGCTACCACCTTTTCTTTTTAAGATCTTTTCAGTCACTAAAAGCTGACAGCTATTAAAAAGCTTACAAAAGTATCTTTTCAGCTAGTTGTGCCAAACATGCCCATAGCCTTATGTTAGGAGTAGACTTTCCAAATGATTAACGCAAGAAATTGTTTTCAACCATGAGCCCAATATAGTCCATTATTTGGTAAGAGAGTTGGCACTTGGCAGTTAGAATTGGATGATGGTTCTATCCAAATGAATCAAATGATGCCATCCATATCGATCCGTTGCCGTAGATATGGGCATCTTCGCACCTAGTGGACATCCGCTAGCCCATTTAGTTCCTTATCCCACGGAACCCTTCAACCGTTTTATTGAAACGGATTACATGAAAGTTGCAAAGTTAGCTCCTTGACTCATTTTAACAAAATGCATGAAATGAAAAAAAACAAAAAAAAAAACAAGAGCATTGCATTTCTCTTAGAGCATCTCCAATGCTCTTCTTTTGACCGAGTAGAATTTTGATACATCATAGTATCATACAATTTTGAAAGTGTGGATGAAATTTTATCTCCAATGCACTCTTTTGTTAGCCTTGTTAAGTTGACGTGGAATCAATCCTTTTAACTTGCTGAGTCATTAAAATTGATCAAATCTTCCCTAATTCCAAGCTAAACGTGAAGAAACCGTCCACCCTAGGTTCCTTTTCTATTCTAATTCTTTTGGAATTAATTAAATGACAGCAAGATAATATATTGGCACATTAACATTAGGGGAGGTCTCCTTTTACTTTCTTCCCATTTATATTTGATGTGGATAGAAAGGATCCTATTTACGTATTATTTGACATTTGACAAAATATAAGAAATGTGAACAGAAGAGCATTGGAGATGTTCTACCATCCCACTTTTGGAAGTTGTAGTTACAACCAGCTTGGGGACGTGAGATGTGCAGATGGCACATATAATGGGAAAAGAAAGGTCTTTGATAACTTAGTTGGGCATGCGGCTTACTCCAATCCTAGAATTCTGATCCCCATCAAGGAGGGCTGCGGCAAGAGAAAGTGCCGAAGAGGTTGTGGCGTTGGATATATATACAAGAATATATTAGTTTTACAAAAGAAAACGCATTTATGTATTGTCAAAAGGGAATCCACAATTTATTGCGATTAGGCACGAGGAAACTACATTCATTCAGAACAATCAAACAATCTAGAAAGGCTAGAATTGGACTAATACGGGTATAATTGTAAAAATATCATTAAAAAGAAACTTAATCAACACATTGACGAGCACTTTGTCGTAGTGTGTCTCAAATTAAATTCACTACTAAGGGCTAATACCGTAGTATAGCGTAGTAGAGTTCGTATCCACAGGGAAAGGAGCTTTTCGCATATGTGTAATCGTAATGAATAAAAGTAAAAGGAAGGGGGAATTGGATATTTTGATAATTGAGAAAGCAAATATCATGTTTTTGCTTGCATATCAAAATATCTTAATATCTTCTAATTCTACTTTAATTTTAGAAGATAAAGATTACACCGTAATTGTACAAAAGCTAAGTAAACATAATGTAAAACCATTCTAAAATGTGGTGTTTATGCACTACTAAATAGTACACATCACACATCCACAATTATAATACAGTTAACAATTTATTGAATAAGAATAGTAGTGAATAAACTCCGCAATAGAGAGTAATAGACTTACACAAAAATTAACGAATTATAAAATTCATTAAGAATGAATAAATTCCACTGTAAGCTTACACAAAAAATTAACTATTTTATCAAAGGAAATAATAATAAATAAGCTATTTAAATACACAATAAATTTAAAAACTTACACAAAATCGAAAAGAGTCGGGTGGCGAGAGTAACGTTCCTGTCAGGCCAGTTTGACAGGATCCACCTTTCGACCCCCTGCACTTGAGGTGCTTCCAAATTGATTTTTTGATGGGGTTTTTTAAGCATGTTTTTCATAAAGTTTACATTATGTCCACCAAATTTCACCTAAAAATTTAACCGAGAGATCAGTTAAATAAATTATTGAAAAATATTGAGACAAAAAAATGACTTTCCAATTGAATTTTCATGTGAAATTTGGTGGACATAATTTATACTTCACCTCAATCGAATGGAGGCTGCCAGACGACAATTCCGGTCAGGCCGGCCTGCCAGGAACACATATACTCGGTATATAAATACAAAAAAATAGGGAAAACTGTCAAATAGGTCCTCCAACTTTCATAACAAGGTCAATTAAGTCTTTCTATAGGAGGTTCTGTCCGGCCATCGCGATTTGGGGCAGTTCCCGGTGGAATTTTTTCATGAAATGTTTTGAGCATATTATTCACCAAGTCTAGTTTACTCATACCAAATTTCAGCTAAAAATTCAATCGGGAACACATTCAAATTAATTCTTGAAGATAACTGTGCATTTTTGCGTTCTCGAATTAATTTGAATGCGCTACCGATTAAATTTTTAACTGAAGTTTGGTATGAGTAAACTAGACTTGATGAATAAGATGCTCCAAAAATTTCATCCAAAAATTCCACCGGAAACCGCCCCAA